AAGCGGATATATGTGTATATATGTAAAAACCGATGCTAGTTCAGCGTTCCATTAAGCTGTTATGCTCATCTGGGCCGGCAATAACAATCGACCACTGCTCGCATTCCCATATCTGCTGCACCGTTGCAGCTGACGCCTAAAGCAGACACGCTTAATGGCTAAGCCACCGTCAACGGACAATTCATCGAGTTTTGCACCATGCTAAACACGACAATTTTTACAAAACCATGTCTTATAAATGCACAATGAGAACCCCATTTATGCCAAAAAATTTCATTTATTTGAATAGCCACTCAAAAGAAAGACGAATAGATAAACTGACCAGAGTTACGTTGCATATCACAACTCTCCTTTCTTGTTCACAAAAAAAATTGACGAAAACGCCTGCTGACAATCTTTTGAAAATAATTATGCATCCTTAAATAAAGCTTTTAATCTTCATCAAAACACTACTCCTCCAAAGCAAAACAGTTTTTCGCCGCAACAGCTTAATCGACAGCTTCCAATCAATAAAACTAATAGGACACTTTCCGTTAGGAACAAATAATTGATGGTATATTATGTCTAAACGGACGCCGCAGACCGAATTAACAGAACTTTATTAGTGGCTGTTCAGATATTTGCGAGGACAAGAAAAGTGGTCAAGAAATGAAACAAACAAAAATGAACAGCAAAAGTTTTCATGAACACAAAGTGGAGACATTTCTGGTTGATGTCCAACGGGCAATTAACTAATGAAATTGTAAGAATTACACTATAGCGGAATTAGATTAAAAGACTTTACCCTCACTAAAAATTAAACGAACGATTACAACAAACTTGGCAGTTCTCGCCAGTAAGAAACGTCAGAACACAGAGCTCATAATGTCAAAAGAGAATAACTTGAAAGCTGGAAGAACTGATAAAACTTTAGGTGACCAGAGTACGACCCAGTTTTGAATACAAATACCACATTTCTAATAGAATTAAAAACACACAAGAACAATGACAGCGCAGAAACAAAGTCATCTATGACGGCAGTTGTTTAGAAAATCCCTGTTACACACCTTCAGAAAAGGATAATGTTAAATGAAGAACAAGGAGAACAATTATGAACCCTACTTTACCTGATAAACTAGAACCATCAAAATGGCCGACCATACATCTACGAAGTAAATATAAAGGTGATAGGACTTCCAACTTTACGGAAAGCATCTGGGCTATGTACCAAGTCTTTCACTGTACTGCTCCAACAATAAATGAAGAGAGCTTGGCACACTTTTGTGAAATTGGTAATACGCAAGGAAAGACTTCTGCTTTCATTGAGCATATAAGTACACAAGAACGACATTAAAGTCATTAGAACTAAAGGCCAGCTTTGATGATTCGTCGAGATCCCCTATGATGTGGGCCCGGAGGTTTGGCAAAGCCTGGGTCGCGGAGGCCTACAGGAGGATGAACGTGCTGCATTAGAACGTCGTATGTAAGAACTTCTTTACTGTCGGTTTCAATCTAAGAAAAAATAAGTTAGTTAAGCGCGAAGAAGCATTATATTGGCTGGAAGTCAAAGTTGTAGCCATAATCTACTCTTTCCATAACATTTAAGAACTCGGAAAATAATTATTTAACAAATTTGAGCAAACTAGAATCAACAGCTTCTTATTATATTATATTATGAACAAAGAAGAAAGAACCCACTTTGATATCAGGTTTCAAATTTGCACTTTCAGCAGCACTCATAAGAAAAGGTTGCTTACAACTGGAGTACAGCATTTTCTCCTTTATGGTACACCCAGATGAAGGCATGGTATAAACAAATACTAGAATTAAACGTCATTAACATTGGAAAAATTAGTTCAGTCATGTATATGCACAGACCCCAAAAACTAACATTACTGCAAACTTAATGAAAAAAATCAAACTCTAAGAAAAGTAACATGTTCACAATTAAAATTGAATAATAAAAAATTTCGCTAATTTTTCGTCAATTCTTCTGCAAAAACAACAGTAAGAAGAAACGTCAGAAAATTTTGAATCTGAATTATCGATGACAGTAGGGAATGAAAGTCATTAGCTGTTAAGAATGGGGCTTCGTCGTTTTTGTTCTAATTGTTCAAAAATTGTGAAAAAATGCACAAAAGTTTAACAAGAAAATACAGTAATCACGCCTTGACCGTCTTAAAATAATGCCATTCTGAAAAACCGACCTGATATATCTAGAGCAAAAAATACTAAAAGCTTCCGATAACAGGATTAGAAAGGTTACCGATAGTTTCAAAAGGTCTGTCTTGATATGTGTGATTAAACCGATAGAAATGATATCGTGGCTTGTCACGTGGCATCACCTAGAACCCGAAAAAATTAGTGTACATTGAGATCAAAATAGCACCAATGTATGAAGCCTTCTTTAAATTACTGGAAAGATACACAGTTCGAAACATATGTAACTTTTTTTCTTGCTAACAACCCTTATCGCTTAACGAGCAGTTTCTTCCTAAAAAGGCGACTGAAAATCCTTACTCAATTTGAATGCAGTAAATAAAATAATAATTGAATAAAAAACAAACACCAGTGCAACAGAACTAACTTCTGCTAAGCGTTCACAAGGCACATCACGATCTGACTTTTCAAGCTTAATTGCTTCATTCAACGTATCTACTGAAAGTTGGACATAGTTGACCACCCGATCTGCTAGGTTACGGAGTGCTTCCACTGCGTTGCCATCTATGGGAAACAAAACCCCTAAAAAGGATCAACGGAAATACCACCAATTCCAAAAAAATTCTCTAAGAGCAACTGAAGAACAAAACAGAATGGCTTTACAAAAGAAGCATGCAACATTTTAAAAATAAATAATCCAGGCATTAAAAAGCTGCAAAATAACAAAAGAGGACCTGACATTGTGAGTGAACTTTCCTGAACTGCAAAAAATATCTTTCAGAAACAAATTTAAAAATCATTTTATTTCTTATATATTTGAAGTGATGGCCGACTTAATATACAAAAGAAATGAAGTGATGCATCCCTTCGTGTAACTTCAGGAATTCAGCAGCTAACAAACTAGTCCACTACTATTTCCAACTACTCCGTGACGTTTTAAGAATTATGACAAACACAACTAATCAGCCGCTCATGCTTTACCATAACTTTAAAGTACTCCTGATAAACGTCAAAAAATTAATGACCACACAAATATATCGTTAAAAACGGATAAAAAGTCCATCCAGAATGCCAACCTTTCAAGGTTTGTGCAGCAACAGCAGATGCATTAAGAGACTTCTGTTCCCTATAGGCTGTTTCCAACTCTTTCTCAACTTCCGTCAAGGGAGCAGGTTCGCTACAAGATTTCAGCCATCTTTCAAATGCATCCAAGGTTAAATCTTTTTTACTCGTCGCATGATATTCATGCCTGAATAGCAGAGGTTAGCCGAAGAAGAAAAAAGAGCAGCTTACTGAAAGTTCTCAGGTAAAACAAAATCAAAAACTAACTTAATATTGCACTGCCCAAATTCAGACTTAAATGTCGCACCGGTTGATGCTATCAACATCTTCTCACGTATTGGTGCTCGATCGTCAGCAAATCTTTAAAAAAGTAGAAAAAAAAAATAAAATATTATTTGAAAGTATTGGTTCAAACAAATGCCGTGCTCCACTTCGCTGCTGAAACACCATCAAAAGAGTTTCTACAAGGTGGCAGAGAAATGACGACTTAGTCGCAATATCAAAATAAAGATCCACAGACAGGAGCAAAAATAAAATACTTACGTTATCAAAAGCCATTCCGTTGGAGAACCTATGCGGAAAATAATGAAGCAAGGTTCAAAAGCATCTACACATTCTGGTAAATTCCGCTTGAAATCAGCTTTCCAGTCGGCGGTTCCCGCATCTCTGAAGTTGACACACAGCTGCTCTGTAACGTATGCTTTTTGATTTATGAAAAAGATAATGTGATTTGAATACCTCAAAAGTAATACTGAACAGTAACTAAAGAAAATAACGTCGACATCAGAAACCAAAAAGACTAACAAAAACTGCTCAGCAACCCCAAAAACGAGTCTCTAGGAAGGTGAATAGAGCAATTCAAAACAGTAAAAAACCGAAACTCAGATTCAAAATATTGTAATGTTTTTCGTAAACGACACCCAACCTATGCTTTTACTCTTTCTCGTAACTCCACTCTGAATTAAAACTAAGATTCGCTCCGAACAACGCGAATAGCAATGAAAACAAAAACTGAAAAACTGTACCATTTTTGACTACAATCTTCCCCAATCTCACAGATCCTTTTTTACACTCATTGAAAAATCGCAGCAACTGCTCGTTGGCTAAAAAACAATATATTCAGAGAACCAAAAGTTAATTAAGCAGCAAATAAAAAAAAAAACCAAAATATTTCTTCTAATAAAGTAAGATAAAAATTTCTACACAACAAACAAGTGATAACGGAAAATAAGCAAGACGAATTCAGCAGACTATTACGTATAACAGTACAATGATAGCTTAGGTCACCAATAAACGTTAATAATTTGTGGAAAACCACTAACTCCAAAAAAAAAAAAAAAAAAAAAAAAAAAAAAAAA